AACCAATTTTCATCAAACTTAACAATTACTTTATAAATGTATCCTTTTTTTTACATCCCTGGCATCAAACTGACAAACTGAATTTCAAAAACTCTAAAATAATTGCAGTCTGAAGCAGGTCTTCATGTTGCCTGTTTTACTCCTTCATGTCCTCGGCTAAATTCGATTGAATAAATACAGACTACTTCTATTATATCAGTAACTGCATTGATTCAAAATGTTTTTTTTTAATGGAAGTACTTTAAAGTAATTGAAGAAGATAGACTCTGTTACATGTAAACATTATGCTGTTTTTACTCCATTCTAATTGAAAGCTTTTTTTCCTGATCGACCAGCAGAGTATGGCTGCTATTTGTAGATAATACTCATCTTTTTTCCAAACATGATTACTAGAAGGTGTGATGTTTTTTATGCTGTGGTTTTGTTGATGTTATATTTAGAAATACAGTTTGATTTCTTTAAGAAATTGTAGAATTTTATATGGCTTAATGTCATGAAAGTTCTTTATATTCGTTGTTTGGTAGTATTTTAAACTGGTTTGCTACAATTTCTTAGTATATACGTATTGTTGGTATTTTTTATATAAAAATTTATTGTTGGCATTTTTGCTGTAAAAATGTATTTTTTTACTTTCATAATATTTTGTTTTTGTTTAATGGGGTCATTATTTGCTCATAGCTGGAACCATGACAAGTGTTACCACCCCGAGTCAGGGTGAACATGGGAAAAACAGCAATATCCGTCCACACTCCTCAAAAGCCCCAATCTCCCGATCAGAGGTCTTGCCGCCGGATATAGAATTAGTAGGACTTGTATCAGTAAATCATTATTATCTCTAAAAAAATAAGTTTAAAGAGGAATTAGTCAAAATCTAACAGTCGTGATTATGCGAAGAAATGACTACAATTTAAGGTTTGTCTTTTATTACTAAGTGTTAACGATCATTAAAGATAGAATGGAAGACAGTTATACAGGAATAAAGTTTCGCTGACGACACTTGAGTTTGAACATAGATCGCCAGTGAGCAAACACAGGCAATCCCATTATTAAATTAAGTAGACCACGTGACCAAAGTAGAGATGCATATATTGGAGATAGCGTGACGTCTAATTGATCGTAATTTCTATTCTATTCTCTATTACTATTCGGATCTCCATTTCTACTCTGTCCTCTATTACTATTCGGACCGCTATTCTCCACTTTGTTTTCTGTACTATTTCTCTATTCGGATCACTATACGGATTACTATTCGAGCGAGTATTATCGAGCAAGTACTATTAGTGCGAGTGATATTCGAAGGCGTCTGACGCTAGTATTGTTCGACGGCGTTACTATAGTTGTATCTGCGATTACAAAGTCTCTACTACAACGAGCATTACGAAAGTGACAACCAGTATTCGTTGACATCTCAAAAGTAGCAACGAGTGTTCGTTAACATCACAAAAACGACAAAAATACTTTTACTGTAAATGCTTGATTTGTATGTTAATCAGGTTAGGTTTTGAAATCCCATTGTAACTAAATTATGAAATCCACTACTGGCGCCATTTTGAGTATACTCTAGAAAAGTAATCTGGCCTATCTTTGGTTACTAATGAGAAGAAAGACAATTGAAAATTTACTAGAGACTACATTTCGGTTGTACCCCAATTCCCTACTTGTATTCCAATCTGGAACTACTATTTGTGAAACAATACTGTTTAATAAGCATGTAGTTCTGAAATGAGAGATCAAATTTGTTTTATAATCAATTTATAAACGGAACCCCTACTATTTGCCATAGTAGAATAGATGTATTTCTTGAAAGAAAAACTACAGAAAATTTTTGAAAACATACAACTATTATATTTTGATTTTCATAAATCGAAACATTTTATGTAAACTTTTTTTGAAAGAGATGCGAGACAAAAATTAATAATGATGACATTGCTTCATCTTATAAATGAATATAACTTAAGACTTGTCTTTTATTACGAAGTGTTAACGATCATTCAAGATAAAATAAAAGACGCACAAAAATAATTTTACTGAAAACGCTTGATATGTATCCTAATCAGGTTGAGTAGATTTTGAAATCCCAACATGAGTAAATTTTGAATTTCACTTCTTGCTGGTTACTAATGAGAAGACAAGTGAAAATTTACTAGTGATAGGTCTTCAATTGTAACCCAATTCACTACTTGTATTTTAAACTGGAAAACTATTTTTAAAACAATATTTTCTAACAAGCATATAGGTATTAAATGGGGGATCACATTTGTTTTATAATCAAGTTATAAGCGGACCCCCTACATTTTACCATTATAGAATCCACGTATTTCTCTACTGTAGAAAATGTGGCTAATTTTTAATTTTAAATTTTAAGAATGATGACATTGCTTCATCTAAGAAATGAATACAATTCATGACTTGTACTTCAATTTGTAACCAATCTGTTTGTAGACCAATATTCATTAATCACAAAATCTATTAAAAAACGTCACTATTATATATATATATATATATATATTATATATATATATATATATATATATATATGTGTGTGTGTGTGTGTGTGTGTGTGTGTGTGGTTATATATATATATAACTATATATATATAACCATATATATATATATATATATATATATATATATATATATATATATGTCAGTGAATAATGAAGTCGACAGGCTGTTTCATGCTGGACGCAATCGTCGGCCTGATGATTGTGTTTAGCATGAAACAGCTTGTCGCCTTTTGAGTGTTGACTTTAATGTTCACTTTTATATTTATATTTACATACGCTCTATCTCTGATATTGAGCAATTTATCCCATAAATATCGCACACCATAAAACTATATTTCTTCACACACACACACACACACACACACACGCACACACACACACACACATATATATATATATATATATATATTATATATATATATACATGGTTATATATATATTAAATGGTTATATGAGTGAGTGAATGAATGAGTGATTGAGTGTGTGTGTGAGAGAGAGAGTGTGTGCGTGTAGGTATATATATATAAGAAATAGTTGCATGTATGAATATGTGTGTACAGGTATACATATAAAAAGTTTCTATGTATATGCATATATGTGTATGTATGCATTCACAGGTATATACCGATGTGCATGTATATGTGTATATATATTTACAATTATGCAAAAAAGAACTCTAATATATGTATATACCTGCGTGGATGTGGCTGTATATACACGTATGTAAATGCATATATATATATATATATATATATGTGTGTGTGTGTGTGTGTGTGTGTGTGTGACAAAATAAATCCCTCAAATTCCTACGATACCAAACGACTTTAAAACAAACACACAAACCGACAGACACTCTCCAATCATTAGGAGGCGATAAGCTAGGATAATTAATTTGATTTATGACATCCACTTATCCTCAGAGCTCCCAAGCTATCCCCCGCCCCACGCACAGTTTTGTATTTCTTTCATTTTAAACTGAGGAAGCCAAATAGAGCATATGCTTCTCTGGCGAAACGCGTCTTTAATAAAAACAAAATTTCCACTTTGTCTGCTGTTAAGTACAGCTGCCGTTGCATGTCATGCTGGACTGAACTCGCTAACTGCCGTGCCGTCTGTGGGCACCTCGTGGTTGTGTAATGGTTAGAAAGCTTGTCTCGCTAGAACAATTACGACTGAGTAGTGAGTTCAATCCTCACTGGGTCTCTCGTACTTTCGGCTTTGTGCCACATCCAAGCTACGCTTGGAAAATATAGTGAAGAAAACGGCGACTTACCTCGTCAAACCAAGCCATATCACGTCGCGTGTATCCTACGACGGAAAATGTGGCGAAAAAGAAAATTACTTACCAAAAAAAAGGGCACGTATTCCGCATAACATGCTGAAGACGGAATATTTAAATTAAAAACAAGTCCGTCGTACGAATCGCCGTAAAAGTAATTTGATATGCAAAAATTGGGTGTCCTCTCCCAGTTGTCGACGAATGGAAAAAATGCTCGGCCGATAAAAGCAGTTATGTTTTCTAGAATCGGTAAGAAAAAATTCGGGTATTTTGGCTACCGCGTTTGTCGGAGAGTGAGTTATTTTTTCTGACTGGTTGCGTGCATTTTGATTTGCGAGATAGTACCTGCGAATCGAGTTTTCGGCATTTCTTTCTGCCCCCGATATTTAAGTCTGAACTTACGGTGATTTATTGTCTGCGTTGTGGAAGTAATCTGCGACAAATATTTCCTTTGCAATCCCAGATCGCTTACAGAAAATAACTGGGCACTTCGAGGCGATGTAGGGTTTAGCAAGGTAGTCACGCTAGAACAGTTACCACAGAGTAGTGAGTTCGATCCTCACTGGGTGCTCCATTCTTTCTGCCTTGTGCTACATCTAAGCTATGCTTGGAAAAATCAGTGCTTTGCCGTCTGACTGTCCTGCTATTATTCTGCTAAGTATGGTATGTACAAGATATTAAAAGATAAAAGATAAAATCTTCGGAATATATCCTTTAATTAACTCAAGATAAGTCTCAGCAAAATATCACGATATCAGAAACAAAAGCACAGAAGGAACAAATCTTTACATCCGGTAAGAATAGCCGTTTCCTTATAAGGAAACACTCATTAACCGAACAGATATCATTAGCGCCGATTAAAATTTATAAAATATCTCTCCTTAAAAGATTGAGTCGCCTATCAACTTTTTACTTGATATTTAAAGCCAGAAAATATTTTTAGGTTATAACAATTCTTTTTTTTTTTAGATAATAACGGTTTAGTGATACAAGAATTAGTAATTAACCAATAACTGGTGTTGGGGGTAGATGATATGGATTCATAGCAGGGTGGAGAAAAGATGGATTTATAGCTAGGTGGAAAAGAGGTGAATTCCTACCTTTCCCAAGGCTATTTGTGCGTAAGTGAAAATAACGAACCCGACTGGAATTGGAACTCGGCTCACCGATTAACAATTCCGAGCCATTATCCCTTACACCACCTGCACATCCAAGCACATTGTACTGCCATGTGGTCACCCATCTAGGTACTGATCAGGATTGACGTTGCTTAACTTCGGTGATCGTACAGGAACCGGTGTTTCAACGGGATTGGTTATAATCTAAGAATAATAATAATAATAAAAACAGTAAAAGTGACGAAAAACAAAACCCATTTATATATTTTCCCTATACAAAATAAATGTTTAAATGAATTAAATACTTAAATGAAAGTCTTCTGTATTAATTCATATTACTTTTTTATTATTTAATTTAATATTTATTCTCACTGGGTGCCCCATAGTTTCGGCCTTGTGCCACATCTAAGCTACGCTTGGAAAAATCCGTGTCGTGCTGTCTGACAGTCCTGCTATTATTCTGCTAGGTATGGTATATACAAGATAAGATGAAAGATAAAATCTTCGGAATATATCCTTTAAGAAACTCAAGATATTCTCAGCAAAATATCACGATATCAGAAACAAAAGCACAGAAGAAACAAATCTTTTCAATCCGGTAAGAATAGCCGTTTCCTTATAAGAAAACATTCATTGACCGAACAGTTAGATTTAGTGCCGATTAGAATTTATAAAATATCTCTCTTAAAAGATTGAGTCGCCTATCAACCTTTTGCTTGTTATTTAAAGCCAGAAAATATTTTTAGCTTCGAAGAATTCTTTTTTTTTTTTTTTTTTTTTTTTTTTTTTTAGATAATAACGGTTTAGTGATACAAGTATTAGTAACTAACCAATAACTGGTGGGGGGTGGAATAATTTTTTTTGTCTTTTCATCCATATTTTATTTTCGTTGCCTAAAAAAAAAACAATCAATTTTCTGGCTTTACATTATTTCAAAATCAAATGATCCTCGTAAACAAACCAGCTGTCTTTGTTCTCATTCATTATCGTAAATAAACAACAATCAAAGTAACGAGTGTGGTTCATTAAAGATAAATCATTAAAGAAAAGCACCATTGAAATATAACAGTTATCTCCCTTTATTTTTTTTTATTTTTTTTTTTCAGTGATGTGAAGATTCGATTTAATGCTTTCTGTACAGTCAGTTAGCGGATAAATGGCATTCACTGTTATGAACAGGACCCCCACCCAACCCAGAAGACAAACACACAGACATACATATAGATAAATCGATGACTGAGTCCTCAAAGTTGCTGAAAGCTTTTGAGCACATCCTGCCACAAGTAAACTGGTGACACGTGATGGAAAGCCACAATTGATGTCAGTTAATGATATGAGGTCAACCAGTCGGAAAATCCGTGAGACTTGGGAGTCACATGACCAGGCCTAAAATCTAGATCCACGAGTTGAAGTTTAAAACGAATATACATTACAAATACAAATTATCCAGTTATATACAATTATACAATTATTTTTTTTTTACTTAACATTTCCTTTTTGCTTAAGTTTTCTAGATGGTGAATTATGATAATTTGCCCTTGTCTTAGTTTTTCCCGCTCACAAACAGATCACCTAAGTACATTATATTACATTACATTATATACTTAAGTTCAATTAAAGAGGCAAATAAATGATGTTCGGTTTAAGCCTTTCCTATGAAATGTTTTCGATCGTATTCTGATCCTCGTTGTTTTATTTCGGATTTGAGTTGTATTTTTATGAACTGTTCCAAGTAATATCTACATCATCGTTGTCTTTTATCTGGATCTAGGATCTTTGGATTTACCACCTAACTCTAGGAATATTTCACGGCAATATCCTCGACGTCGTCGTCTTTTATTCGGAAAAGTATATTAACTCCATGAATTGGGCTGAGGTATAGGATGACTTTCATTGTTTTTCTTTTTATTTGTCGTATTTGTTGAAATTTCATACATTCTTCAATGTAAGGCCTTCGGTTTTGAGTTATAGTCAAATTTTTTTTTCTTTTTTAATCATTTCACCCCATGAAAAGCAGTAAAGCCACTAAGACACAAAGGGTTACTGAGTGTGAAAGAATAAGAAAAAAAAAGTAACATTAATAAGGAGCGAGAACAATAAAAGAATAATCAGGAGGAAAGTAGACAATGATTGATATTGCATTAAAGTTGTGAAGGTCAAAGCTGGCTGGAAAGCATGGAGCCAGAAGAGAGTTCCACAAGTAAGAAGTGCGATAAAAGAAACTGTTAGCATAAAACTTACTGTTACATCTAGCCAGTTCAACTGTAAATTAATGCAACCATGTGGACAATCTAGAATTGCGCTTAAATTATAACCATGAAAAAATTAATTCAGTGTAACATCCTCATTATCACTGAGATTTATTCGAATACATGCCTAAATCGGGCGGCATTTAAGCTATCCCCTGCAGAGGACTCTTGATTGGTTCTTCGGTTTGTTTGTAAGTTTGAGAGTCCCTAAGTCTTTGCATATTCTCCGCATTGGAAGCTCTATTGGTTGCCGTTTAATCTGGATTTTTCATTTGCACGGACTTTCTTTTTCTCCTTGGCTCTTTTAATTGCAATCTAGTCCTCTGTAGGAGGAGATTCCTTTTTGAAGGACATATTGCTGCCGTATGCGATAGGCAACAATAAACTACAGAAGAACTCAAAATTGATCGCTGCATTTAAGTATTGCATTAATATTTAAGCCTAACTTTTAAAAGTTGAACGATAATTCTTCTGACGCCATTTAATTTAAAGAAAATTTGTTGCGCGTAGGTCCTTATTTTCCTTATTTTTTATTTCATGGGAAACTTTCGCTGAATTTCGCAATTAATTTCGATTATTCCCAAATTTACTTCCAAGTTATAAAAATTTCTATCGTACAAAAAATTGTCGCAAAAATCACGAACAAAAATCGCCGAAAATAATCACAGTAATAAAAACTTGGGAATCGAAAATTTCTGTTACGTGAGCTATTAAAAGTTAAAGAGTTGTGTCCCTTTAATTGAAACAGTGTAACACAGTGACACGCTGACATTCGTATTTATTATATAGATGTGTGCTCATCCGATGACTATTTCGGAGTTATATCATTACCTTTGGCTTCATTATGTTTTGTTTTATTTTATGTACAAATTCCACAAAATGTTCGCAGTACCATCCTTATCTTCGCCATCTTATATTTGAATTTGTCAGCTGTTACGTGATATCTCTTCTGTATTGTCAAGAAAATGCTCCCGCCTCCCCGAAACGAACAGAGACTGGTCAGGTAAGGAAAAAAAGCAATGGTACTTATCTTGAATTGCGAAATATATTGACACTTTTCCACGACGTATAACCGTCTGATAACATAAAAGGTAAATTTAATAATAAAAAAAAAGAAATAAATATCCTCTCCTTTTATGCAACTTCGGGAATGAAATGGTAATCCTGTCACGTGACCACTGTAACTATAACAGCTTAGTACAGAAAATAACAAGCTTTTGTTTCATAAGCATTTCAACATCACAAGATAAGGACATTGGTTCTTTCCCACCTGACTAACAGTCAGTTTCCCCACAGAATGACAGCGAATGCTGGACAATCTCGTTAAAGATGAGGAAGAGACTTGAAGCAACAGAAATATGGTTCTACAGAAAGATGTTGAGGATACCATGGAGCGAACATGTGAGCAACAACGAAAGAATGGAAACAAAAAGGAAAACTTATACTTCAGAAAGAGACAGTTGAAATTTCTAGGGCACGTAATGAGAAAGGAGGGTTTGGAAAATCTGATGCTCACGGGAAAGGCTGGAGGAAAGAAGGACTGAGGAAAGCAGCGCGTAACATATTTGATGGGCTTGAGCAAATGGATGTCAGAACAGGGTCTGGAATAAAAAAAAAAAAAAAAAAAAAAGACAAAGCTTATTAAGAGCTACAAGTGATCGGAAGATGGGGGGGGCATGACCGCCTACGCCCCGAAGGGACACGGCACATAAAAGAAGTTCCAATTCCATGAATTATAAAGTCATAAGTCCAAATGAATCTTATAATTTGAACAGCGGTTTTGTATAAATATCAACGATGATGAGGATTTGAAGAATTCATGGACTTAGAAAATGTATCTGCAAAAAAAGATTTGGGATATTGGATATTATTCCGGGCTTTTTATTCAATTTCGTCTTTTACTTGCATGTCATTTTCTGACTAATATTATCATCTTTGTTGTCGTGACTTCGAATTAGCGGTCTAGTTCTTGAATTGTTTGAATTATCATTGGACTAATGACAATTATTCCTCTCATAATTTCAGACAATATTTGGAAGCGCAGAGAACGACATTAAAGAATTCATTCTTTTTTGTTTACGCTCGATCTTCGTTATGTCTTTTTTTTTTTTTAATTCCCACGTCTCTCTGAAGCATAAACGCTTCAAGTAATGGGATAAAATGGCAACAATTTCTCAAATTAGTCACTGGTTTACAACGTAAATATCGTGTCAACTTCCGATTTCTTCTGGTTTGTAACTGCAAATGGGAACAAAATTGTTCAAGAATCATTTTCTCTATCCATCTCTGAAAAAAAAAATAATGAAAATAATGAAGCAATACAAGAAACTACAACTCCCAAACCAATAACAATTTTAAAAAAGGATACTTTTTACTAAATATTCATCCAATTTAACCTTCTCTAGACGTTTCTCTACGCACGGCATTTGTCAGAATCGGAAGATAGTGATTTTTTTTTTACCATTTTCGGAGGGGGGCCGTTCATAATATAAATACAGTTTCAAATCGATCCCTGATATTTTAAAGAGTTAGCTGCACCATATATTTATTTACAAATGTCAACTTTAAAACTGTGCTTACGTCATTGATAACTGCGTATTGCAGATGTTGTCCTTTGTCCCAATTTATAATAGTACGAATATATATATATATATATATATATATATATATATATATATATATATATATATGCACACACACAGAGATGTAGTTATATATATATATATATATATATATATATATATATATATATACTATATACAGGGTGTCCATAAAGTCTGTGTGCAATTTAAAATACTTAAGTATTTTAAATTGCACCTAAACTTTATAGACAGCCGGTATGTATATATTTTAAGACATTTTTATGTTTATACATTCTTTTTATAGATACAAATATTTAAGTAAATGTTCTGCTTATAATAAACAGTATTAAACAACATTT